CAGATTATAGCCCTGGGGAATCTAATTTTTATAACCTGCACAATATCAAACAATATCATGCCATTAATTTTATACAATCAGTAAAACAGTGAGAACCACATAAAAGTTTAACTAGGGTAAGACAGACTCAGAAGCTTGGCTGAAGGTACTGTATTTATGGACTCGCCATATTTTGTATGCTTGTGAAGACTCTAGGTGTTTACATCCATAAAAGTAATAAAACAATTAAAAGAACAGCAAAATTAGCATTATACCATTATCCATCCTCTCCCAAAGGTTTCTGCCAATTAAGTGGCACTCTTTGCTTCAAATGCTCCTTGGAAATGCATGATCTTAACAGCCTTCTGGTGGGATCATCCTAACCTGAGGGGTGGAGAAGGGGGCAGTCTGGCAGGAGGCAGTAGCTATAAGGTGAATAGGTACTTCTTGAATTAGCACTGAAAAATAACTTTCATTAGTGCTAGCCAGGCCTCTAGGATTCTTAGATTATTGACAGATAAGAACTAGTCATTGTCAGCCAGTGACTGGATACATACTTCACTGTGCCATACCTTGATTTGTTGGGCTTTAACATAATATTTCCAGTCTTAGCACTACACATATCTGGAAGTGAACTTCAACTCTTGGCATTCTTAGCAGTGGCCATGTTGGCTGGGGAATTCTGGGAGTTGAAGGCTACACATTTAGAAGACATCAATGTTAGGAAGTACTGAATTAACAAGTTGTATGAATTCAGCCACTGTGATTTATGGCTTAATAAAAAAGTAAAGCCAGCCATTGTGGCTTATTGGATAAACTAAGGTTAAACCAAACTATAGTTCTGTGAATACGTAAAAATAATATTTTACTAAGTAAGTTTTAAAGGAAGCATAGTTGCAGGCATATTTGAGATTAACTAAGTTGTATTAATAAGTATTGTGTGAACAACGCAGGTGACATTGCAACTCACAAACATATGACTCCAACTGTGTTCTTAACATAATCCTAAAATGAAAACATTATTTAAACGTTTTAGAAATGTTTATTATTCCTTAAACGTAACTATGCAAAGCAGTTAAGGGAAATATATATACAATATAAAACTTATAATAAAACTAATTTTAAAACATAACTACATAAAACATGCACCAATATTCTAAATTATTTTTTAAAAATGTCTTTGGAAATAAAAGAAGTTTAACAATACACGAGAGGGCCAAGAACAAAAGGACAGGACATACTGTAGTTTTTAAAGGAAGAGTATTCTGGATTTAAGGGGATACTGAATTTAAAGTATCTAGAGTTAAGGGGTTAGTTCTTCTGGTAGCATTTGTCTGTATCTTGCCTTTAAAAATGGAATTGAAAGATCAGCCCTTGTATATAGCATAGATTAAAACAGTACAAAATTTCATAAAAGAGAAGAGACATACCTTTAAGTTTTAATGTTTCAGTTCCTGTGGTTTTAAAGGTCAACGTAATCTCTGATTAGCCTTTAAGCAAAATATGGAACTATCTGTGGGCAAAATTAGCTTCGACCTCTCCAGAGATAAAAACAATGTCATTGAGAGATCCTATGGAAATCTGACTTCTCTGGGAACGATATCACTATTTGTATTTCTGCCTCCCAGCAGCACACTAGCATCTGTCTGTGTGTAAAATGGGTAGAAATATGTGTAGGTAGGTGGGACCCCCAAAACTTGTCTGTGATGCTTACTTTGATTTGCCTTTGCTTTTTGTTTGCTGTAGTACAAAAAGTGAAAGGGGAGAAAAAGCAGGATAGGAAACAGTAGCCTCCCTTGAACTGTAAAAATGATTGGTGTCCCTAAAACCCGCTATCTTGTGTTGTGTGCTGCTCAAAGTTTTGGGAGATATAGCCCAATGCATTTAGAAAGAGGATTATGCATAGATTATGATCTATGGAGTGTGTTTCTGTGTGCAGTAGTAATTTATTTATTTGCAACCTTTATATACCACCCCAACTAAAACTCTGGATAGTTATTTGTACTCTTGCCTGCTCTCTTTTTTTTGGGGGGGGGGAAGTAGGGTGGTAGTTATCACTTAATGATTCTTCTGTGGCTGGATTCATAGACTAGGTTATTGAATTAACCCATTTTCTGGGTTTGTACAATATGCTAAAGAACAAATTAACCAAATGTGTATGTATAACATAAAACCATCAAACACAAACAGAAACCCACCATAACCAAATCAGTATGATTTACGAAAGCACTGTGATCTGATTAAACAATTTGTGTAAATCTATAGAACTGTTGAAAGAGATCTTCTGAAGGTTTGGCCTGAAGAAACATCAGCATGTGGTTGATGGCCAACATATGGGTCCAGATATTGAACACTGCAGTGGCTTGAGGCTAGGTAATCTCTTGTATATAAATTTGCCACCAATGATTTTATTTTCAATATCTGAAAATAAAGTATTAGAATAGAATCCTCAGACATGACCTGATCACATCAAGCTAATAAATGAACATACAGTATTATAGAACTGTGGACTATGATCCCTGTTGAAATCTACCAGGTTATTTACTATTTCCTTTTCAAAAGTTCCATATTTTAGAAGGGGGGAGGGTTTGTTTCAGCAGGACTGCTGCCAATTTGCTGCTGTTTGAAATTATTCATAAAGCAGCAATAGAAGCAGTCTGTTTTCTATTATGGCTTATTATTTTTAAATGTTTGTAAGGAACAACAACGTTTTGTAGGTAGCTAAAATATTGTAAAGATAAACTAAAAGGAATCATTATCACATATCCAAACAGTGATAAAACTAGTTGTACTGGAAAAAAAATGAGCTTGAAACCTAGAGAAAAATAGGGAGAAAAAGATAGGATGAGGTACAAACTTCTTCTATGCTTCCTTGCAGCTCATGACAATAAAAATACAGCACAGATCATAAAGCTAGTAAAACAATTTGTGCAAATCCAGTAAGCCATCAATATATTCAGGTTGTGCAAATCTGATTGTTCTGAGAATGGAGAGTTCCAGGAACCTTGGTTCTTACTCCATGCCAATCTTGCAACTTTGAAGAAATTATCTGACCTGGAAGCGGTTCTTGGTGGGTTGTACTGTCAAAACACCATGACTACAACACAAACTGCTTCCAGTTCAGAGGATTAACTTTTGGAAGCATTGGAGATTGCATTATCTCTTCACACTCATGAGCCTTTTAACCGCTACAGCAAATAAGGTTCTTTACACACAGTCCCCATGTCTGTCTCTCCACTGGCCTATTGTTAGTAAAATGAGTCTCAATGTTTAAGAGATTCTGGAATTTCCTGTGGGCCTTTTCTATCATATATATTCCTTAACAAATCTCTTTGTCTTCAAATATGATGAAAGTCTGTTAGCATTCATTGATAACTGAATTAAGCCAATACTCTGCATCCAAGGCGGATATTATGAGCATTTTTATTTTGAATGGGACCTGCTTCTACTTAATTACTTGGTATTCTTTTTAGCACTCTGCATATGCTCAGAAGCACACTCTGTAACAAGGGGCTGAATTTGAATCTCTATCAGGAAGACTGTCAAAACCAAAACCCCAAAACAGCCAATGAAACGTTCTGGAAGTATCCAAACGATAGATGCTGAGGGCTAGCAGGTGGTTCGTTTGCATATCCTCCTTTTCCTTCAGAAGTTGAAGGTGGCATACTTACAGCTTCTTTACGTTATTTTTCCTCACAACAATCTGTGAGGTAAGTTGGGTGGGCTGAGAGAAAGAGATGGGAACAAAATTACTCGATGAGCTACAGCAGATGAGGGTGGATTTGAACCTGGATCTCTCTGGGTCTAGGCCACCACCTTAACTACTATTCTGTACTGGTTTTGCCTCACTCTTGTCATTTTGAACTGTCATCCCAATGGTGGCCATGTTACTTGCTGCTGGCTTGAGTTTTCTGGTTTGTTTCTCTGGTTTGTCACAGCTAGCGCCACGCGAAAGGCCTCATGAATTGAGCAGAGGGAGGCAGCCAGCCCAGGTAACTCACTCCAGCAAGCATCATCAGCACAAATGCATAACCATCTTGATGCAATGCTTATTAGGCACCACTGCTGGCCTGTTCACTATCCTCTTGGACACAGACATGATCAAGAAGCACTGAGGTTTAAGAGGACAGTGTTCTGAATCAAGATAATTTCTTGTTTGAGAAAAAAGAAGATGTCCTTACTTATTCCTTCTACAAAAGCCACCTGGCTTGGCAAATAAAGTATTTCCAACCTGCTAGTGAAACATCTGTAAGAAGAAAAACACTCTTCACTATTGCAATCTTTCTTTAGGACTGGCAAAAGCAGAATCTCAACTGCATCTACAGTAGGCTAACTTAGGGAGGACAGGGAAGACTATTCTTGCCACCAACAGCTCTGGGTCCACAAAGCACTTTCCTCTACCTAATGGTTACACACTGCTCTGATGTTACTGGCTTTGTACAATGCACTGGGCAATACTTTGTTTTACTCTGATTACGGGAGCGCGTGGGGGTGTGAGTGAAAAAGTTAAGATGGTGGATGCAACAACAGTGTCATGGACACTAGCTTGGTTTCACATACACCCTCCCTTGCAGACATCCCTGGTTGATTAAATGAGTTGAGCTCATCTAATTCGTAAATCTTCTCCTATAAACCACAATAGCTGGGCCCAGGCATTATGCTCAAACCGCACTGGGAAATTCCCCGTGGGCCAGAGAAAGTCAATGGGTGATTTTAGGGCAGTCATTCTCAGCTCAGTCTACATCACAGAGTGGTTATGAAGACTGGAGAAAGGAATGCCAAGTATGGAATAAAAAAAAAAAAGAATGGAAAAAAGTCACTTCTGAGTCAAACTTGATTCTTGGTGATCATATGGGCATGCTGATGTAGTTTCCTTCCAACAATACGAAAAGGCTTTGCTATTGACTTCTCCTCCACCCCCCCGCCCCCAAATCTCTGGTTATTGTTAAATTCCTATAAATCCTTTCACTACAAACACACACGCACACAGCGCCTCAGTCTAGCCAGTTACAGACCTGGGATTTCTCATCGGCAGCTTCCAAGTCCCAACAAGATCAGGCAGCAGGTGTTGTTACCTACTGAGTCTCCTGGAGGAAAAGTAGGGTATATATCCAAGAATAAACAGAACCCCATTATGGTCCAGCGCCAAAGGAGAATTTGCTGTCAGCTAAGTAGATTTCACCACAGGGAAGCTGGGGGGCGGGGGAGGGGACGAAATACTATGCTTCTCTCCACCTTCGGCTGCCAAAATGTCTTGGGCCAGTCGTGGTTCCCGGAAAGATCCGCGGACCGAGCACCAATAGCCGGCCTTTGGATCCGCCTGCGGCGGGGCTTTAATACAGCCCGCCAGCGGACGAGCAGCGCAGGCAACTTCTGTCTGATCCGCCGTTTCTCTCGCGCTCCAAGCGGCCTCAAGACTCCTCCTCCTGCAGGTGAATTACTCGACGTCCGCCGGCTTCGCGGTTGCTAACAATGCGCTGCCGCCGCTCCTGCGCACTGGAGAAAAGGGGAGCAACACAACTAGGAGGAGGAGGAGGCGGCAGCGGCAGCGGCGGAGGGAGGGAGAAAAAGAAACGGGGAAGGAAAAAAGAGAAAGAAAGCGAGAGCGGATCTACTCCCTCCTCCTGCCCCTGCAGCAGCCGCCGCCGCCACCGGTCAGCCCGCAGCGTGCATTCAGCGCCGCTTTCCCACGGAAGCAGCTTCTCCTCCCTCTGCTTTCCTCGGTCCGTTCGGCCCCGGAGATCGAAAGGAAGGCCGGACGAGCCAACTGCAACGGGACGCGGAGCTGTCAAGCGGACTTGCTGCTCCCTTCTGGAGAGGTGAGGGAGGGCGACGAGGACGGACTCTCGCCGGCTCCGCCAAAGGCACCGGCGATTGCGAATGGACTTTCCTCGGGAAAAGCTCGTCCTTAGCCTCTTTGGAAACGAGGAGTTGCTTTCCCATAGAGCGGGAAGGGGAGGGGAGAGGAGGCAGGACGGAGCTCCACAAAGAAGGCCTGTCGGCCGAGCGGCTGCCGCAGCCCCCGACCACCGTAATTGCCCCGCCGCCGCATAAAGGAAAAGTCTACTTAGTTCCCTGGATCATTAAGCGGGCGGGCGGGGGGGGGGCTTGCCCCTCAGCCAATAACGGAGGGTTTTGCCTCGGTTGCCAGGGCAACCTCCAACGGCGCCTGTAGGATGCGTCGTCCAGCTTCAGCCCTTCAGTTCGTTTCACAACTGACTTCAGATCTCCCCCCACCCGTTTGGCATTGCAGCATTTCTTGGGAGGACTGTTGGGGCGAGGGGGTGGTCTAGGGAAGTATGTCAGGGATAGGGGCCCTCTGCGTCTCTGAGTTCGCATGAATGCTGCTTTCTTCGTTGAATACCAGATGGCACTTCCTTTCCTTTTGGTGGCTGGAGAAGTGGCCCCTTGGACAGGAACGATTTGCCTGAGTGGAGAAGGAGGAGAGATGCGTTTGCAGGCTGCCCCTTTCCCCGCGCAAGTGTTAAATTTGTCCCTGATGATTTCCGTCATCTCAGCGATCTCCTCCTGACCTTCCTGGTCGAAAGGAAGGCAAAAAAAGTTGCTCTTCGGGGAAAAGACTCTCAGGGGAAGGGGGTACAAGCTGGGGTTGCAAGGACTTGTTTCGCTGAAGCAAGGGTCTGCTGCTTTTGAGGAGGATCTAAGGTGTGGCTTGCAGCCTCAGGCCAGGTGAGGGGAAAGGAGGTGCCCTTGTTCAAGATGCCTTTCTCGTCCTCGTCATCTGGAAATGCAGATAGAGCTTTTCCTATTGTAGGCTTGATTTTACTGTAAATAGAAAGGAATCACTGGGAAACCATCCGTAAAGTATATCATATTCTTAAAAACTATTTGGCCCCTTTTGCCCCTTGTGCTATTCTGGGGCCAGTCGAACAGGGTTCTAAGGCTGCCTCCTTTTTATCCAAACACAGATCATATCTATATATTCTGGGCTTTTGGATCATGTTCTGAAAATCTGCGTGGGTTGTGGGTTATTTTTCCTTTTTTCTTTTTCATTTGCTCTGTCTTTTTTAACTTCATTGTTGTACATTTCCTGTTAGCTTCTCCTGCCTCTCCCCTTATACTGATCTGTGATGTACTTGGATGATGGAACATTCACTGAAAGGCCATTTTGGATGGATTCACATACATTAGGCAAAAGTGCAGTTGGCTAATTTGTGGCTTAGTGTGTTGCAAACTGAAGCAAGAGGGTTAACTCAGTAAAGCTTGGTTTGGTTAGCATATGCAATTAAAGCCTTTGAGAAATGGCCAATATGTATTGGCAATACATGTTGTGACTTCTCTTGCTTCAGGCGGTATTTATTTATAATGAGCTTTGGAGCAGGAGGTTGGGAGATAACATTTTTTTTGATAATATAGAACTGGGTTTAAGGTCTTGGGTTGCTGACCACAGAAAAGAGATTTGCTGCTGCTGCTTTTGCCTCACCTGCTATGGGGTTATGAAAGCTTTCTACAAAAAGTTGGTGAGTGGGGAAGATAATGTTTAAACTTTTGTTTTTGAAGGGTGCAGAAGGTCTGCTAGAAAATGTAGCAATAATTTATGCAATTGTAAGCAGTTTTTTATTTGGATCCAATTGTTGTTATTCATGTAAGTTGTTCTGAGAACTTTTCAGGCTGAAACTCTGAGTATAAATACTTGAAGTAAATATATAAATAAGTAGACATAGGAAAGCAGTTTTGCATCCAGCTAAAGTTCTACCTGATTCAGCATCCTGCTTCCATAATAAGCCAATATCAATTAGAAAAATTGCAAGGGGGATAAATAAAAACTCCTTTGCACTCCTTTCATCAGCATTTATCCCGAGATCCCTGTTGTACTTTGTATTGGAGAAAATGCATAGCTATCATGATTACTAGCTATTAATAACTTATTCTCTATGAATAAGCCTAATAATCTTTTAAAGCTATCCAGCCTTGGGTCTGTCACCTGGAATAGTAAATTCCATGGCTTAAGCATGCAGTATATAAAGGAGTTCTTGCTTTTATTTATCCCCATTTGAGGAGATTGCTATGGATTCTGGTAAAGTTCTGTTCATCTGATTTCTTCACAAAATGCCTGATTTTAATGCCTCTTGTCCCTCCTCTCTGTTAAGGCCTAAATGATATAACTTTTCTTCAAGGATGTGCTCCACCCTTTGATAATGTTGGCCCTTTTCTATCATTCCTTTTCTGAGTTGTGATCAGAACTCTATATTGCATTTTAGGTTAACATATATATCTGTAAGAAGCCAGCAGTGACACTGGAAGTATTATTTTTAATTGCTTTCCTAATAATCCAAATATGGATTTTTACATTTTTCATGGTGGCCCACATTACTTTTACTTTTTTATTAAGCTGTTCACCACTGAGTTCTAATTTTCACTGAACTGTTGTGGCTCTTTAGTAGATAGTTTTATAAAAAAATCATACTTTTGTTTTAAATATTCCAAGTTAGTAGTGTTGTTAAACTAAACCTTCTCCCTGCTCAGTTGTTTGTAAATAAGTTAAAAGACACTAGTCTTAATATATTGGGAGATACCACCATCCATTGTAGTAACTATCCATTTTTTCCTGCTTTTGTCTTTATTTCTTTAAGTGTTTATTAATCCAGAATCCCTCTCCTTTTGTCCCATGACTGTATTTTGTCAGAGGCTCTTTGAAAATCCAAGTAAACAACATCTGGTTTGTAAGTATTCACCTGCTAGTTGACACTCTGAAAGAATGCCAAAAGGTTAGTGAGACAGAGATTATATTTGCATCTTCTGTTGCTTAAGCAAGTAATATAGTTCTAAGTAAACATTGCTATGAGAAATAGGGTTCATATATCATACTAAGTGATGTGATGAATTGTTTTGGGATTGGTGCAGTGTATAAAGCCAGCCAACTGCACGGTTAATCAACAAACATGGTTAAGCAAGCCATAGCTTAGCATGAGGTATGAGCCCAGCTAGTATTATGCTGTTTGCTTGTGCCCTGTTGCTTTCTTCTTTCCATAAACCATATTTAGTTTTCATTAATAGCAAGTAGCAGAATCTAGGTGGCAGGATATATTGATAGTTAGAATCATATGGATTCATAAAACTCCAAAATTATGGAATAGATGTGATTTTTTTTTTTTTGAAAGAAACAGAAAAAGTGAACAGGAATAAAGGTTATGGAACTGCAATGGTTATGGCAAGATAGCAAAACTTTTCCTGTCATCATCCCTTTGGTGTCCCCAGAGTCTGTCCCCCAGGAGTATAGGCCCAAGATTTCTGCCACTTGTTTTATTCTGGGGGGTTTGGAGAATATGGGCTATGGATCAAAATGGGTGCCTGTAGCCTTGCAGATATTTAAGCATACATTCTTAAAATTCCAAACACCTCTCCCCAGAAACCAGGCCTTAGACCCTTCACTTTCACAGTTTGGTCCTCAACAGGCTTCACAAAGTCTTGGCAAAGTCCTTAAGCCAACAGAAGTTATGCATATTTATATTATGGTATTCATTCATGTCTACTGTTTATGCAGTTTAGGCTTATCAATGAGAGAGAGGACTTAAGGTGCCAGTTCTTTGTCACTTTATATTGTAATTTCTAGGTAAAGCAGCCTTGTAAATAAACCCAGAAAATTGTTTACTGTCTAGTATTAGTTTGGAAAGGCAGACTATTCACCTGTTGCTAGGCTAGTAAAATAAACTGGCCTATTTGTTAGCTGTCTTTGTTTTGTTTCCATGCTGGTCATGGAGGAATATGCTTCCAGTCTCCCACAGATAATAGGGAAACCATATAGGTGGTTGGGGAGGGATATAATCAAACCACTCCTCTGTCAGCCTGCTTATTTACCCATATAGAATTAATGGGATCCATACATGGCCAGTGAAGTTCTTCATTTCAAGGTAAATGAAATAGGTGATTTTTCCATACTGTTTTTTCCTCTTTCTTGAGAGACATCGGCCTCTAATGTGAATGATACCTTGACAATATAGAGAAGGGGATGAACAAGGAGAAAGACTAGAAGAGAGCTACAGTACTTTCTCAAGTTCTTATTAGGTACTGTGGTGTATAGAATGTTTGACCGTAGCCTTATCCAGGAGGGCTGTTCTTAGGTTATTTAACATCGACAAACAGTTATTGGTAAGTAAGAAATACTCAGGATTTAGAAATGAAGTTAATAGCAAAACCTTTCTTAGCCACTTTGTGTTAGCAAAATTCTAGGATGAAATTATCTCAAAGTGACTTCCCTAGATATGTAGAAGTAGATAGATGAATGGGTCACTTAGGTTTACTCCATGGGACAGTCTCTTGCCCATAATATTCATTCATTTTGGTCTGGTGGATTCAGAATTGAAAACAAGCTGACTGGATATAGTAGGGAGGAGACTGGATAATAAAGGCATCATTTTGCCACTCCCTTTGTAATACTGTTAAATTTTTTAGCCTCCTTGTTCAAATATGAGCCAGCAAGTGCAGTGCACATTTTCATTCTACATCCTGTGTGATGAGAAATTTCTGGGGAGATATGTATAATAATCATCTGGGAATAGTCCTCCTGCAAGGATTAGTGTCGCTGAAAATCTGTGTTCTAGCCCCACTGTGGTATTGTGCCTGCTAAGAATTCCATGGTTGGCATCTAAAGCTGTTGAGGTTCTGCTTTCACCTGTTAGTGAACCATCTGAGGTTGTTTCAGTGCCAAAGCCAGACCAAAATCCTGGCTCAAATTTCTGTTGTACTGTGTTTAGTTATTCTGTGTACTGAAGTACAGCCTCAACTTTTTTGCAGTTTTTTTTGGTATTCTGCTTTAAAAAGCAAAACAGTTGTTTTTTTTCATGGGCCACAGTATTTT